TCTTTAGTTGAGTTAACCGAAATTGTATATTTAAACTATTGTGCTCATAATTAAAGTAGATATCGCAAAGATCTATTGCCCAAGCTTATTAATAAAAACAAAAATAAAGTGTCCAAATTTACACAATTTCAGGGGGTTTTCATTGCTTAAACAATTGCAAAAGTTTCAAAATTGTATAAGCCTTGATGCTCCAAAAGCTTCAAATGTTTTTGTTGAAAATTAAACACGGTTATTGTTCCTAGTTTTGTCTCGATTGTTTTAATAATAAAACATATGTTTTCTCTTTTTTAATAAATATCGAGTAAATCCATTATGAAAAACGAAACGTTATAAACTGTAAAACTATACCTGAATAACAGTATCTAAAATATATTGATATTTAAACTTATTCACGAATTATTTCATAGTGATGTTTTGCTCCAAGTGTAAATGCAATCATACTGAAGATTAATTTATTTGGGAAGATATTTGTCATAAAACCTGTAAAAAATATAGCCGAAAGGATAAAGAAAAATTATCAGCAAGAGTTGCAGATTTAACTATTGAATTTGTCGAACAATCCGAGTATGTTGATCATAATACTATTCAGAGGACAGATGCTGATGATGTTGATCGTAACGAAGTTGATTTCCTTGATATAGGTGATTTAGTTGAGCGTGAACTTGAAAGTCTGACGGCCAATGCAGTTTACCAGATCCGTTTGTTAGTGAACATCGATATAACTCCAGACATGACGGCGAAGGAGGTTGCTGCTATTGTGGTTGCTAAAATAGAAAGTGGCGATGATTATTCATGGAAGTAAGGCCGAATTTGAACCTATTTTAATATGAAATTTTGAGATTCGTTTTTTTTTTTTTAATATAAATATAATTATTTTAATTATAGTTTTTCATATGCAAAAATGTTCAAAAAATTCGGTGAAAAAGTTGGTAAATTCTATTATATATGTTGTCAATCATGTGAAGCGCAAAGTAAATTTAAAGATTCAAACCGCAAACGGCAAATTCGATACGACTGCAAAGGCAAAATTATGGTACAAGTTAATATAGATCTTGGTATTATGGTAGTGGATATTTACCATGGGCTCCTGCATTCACGTTCAGATATTTGTGCTGAAATGTCTGATGAATTGCGAGAGGAAATTGCAAGTAATTCACATCTTACTACCATAGACCTTATGAACCACCTACGATGTCAAAATTTTGATATCTCAAAATATTTGCCAAAACAGATTTATTTCTGGAAGTCTGTTGTAGGTAGTAATAAAACTTTTTAGTTTTTACCTCAAATTAAAAATTAAAAATAATTTCTAAGCACCTAATAATTAGAATCCATCAATAGCATAGAAGATATTAACAAAATAATATCATTCTGTTGGTACCTTCTATGCATCTGACGGACTCCAATTATTAAGCGCTTAGATATTATTTTTAATCACCTATTTTTATTTTTAATTTTTAATTATTAAAAATTTGAAATTATTAATTAAAAATTCAATCACTAATTGTAGGTCAAAGACTCTTTCGACGTCATGAAGATCAAGTTAAATCTGCGCGTATGCTACTTGATGAGTATAATGACCTAGGCTTTCATTGTTGGTTTGATATTTCAAATCCAGAGTCCACAGTTATCGCGTTCACGACCCCGATATTAGATGAAATTAATGATCGTAACATCAATATTAATGAAATTTATATAGATGCAACATATCAAACTGCGAGAGGCATTATAAATTGTATAGTATAATAGCAGATATTAATAGGACTGGTTTCCCAATTGCTTACCTTTTATTTAATACAGCAAAAGCAGCTAGTGAGAACAAACGTAGCGAAACCTTGAAAAAATTATTCGAGGCCGTGAAAGCATGTAATATCAACCCATCTTTCGTATTTACAGACAAGGATTTTGCAGAAATCAATGTTGCAACAGCGGTATGGGGATCATTAGTAGTACAATTATGTGCTTGGCATATAAGACGGGCTCTAAAACTTAAGCTTAAAGAGAAGGCTAAACGATCAAGTAATACAGGACTATTGACTGTAAATTACGATATCAATAGAGCAGCCAATGAATTCAATTTTATAAACCTAATGTTCTATCCAAGTGAAGCTAATAAAAATCCATGTACATATGTTATATACCCACAGGTATGGATGAAGCTAAAGCTTTTTAATTAACTAATCAGTTACCTTATAAAAAAATTTTTGTTAACAATGTTCTAAAAATTTTCTAAAGCTATTCTGTTTTAGTTTAAAAAATGGTCAGAATGGAGTCGATTTTCTGAATATATACTGATTTACACCGAATGTTGCCAACCCCAAAAAATTTTTTTTACATCTACGGCATAAAAATTGTACAATATCATATTGGCATTTGGAAAATCGACTCTATTTCGAACATCTTTTCGAACAATGTCTACAATAACTGAACTTTTTTATGGGGTTAACTAGCTGTTGATTGATTAAATAATGTATAATTAGCTATTATACAGAAATGTGAATATCTTAATGCGCAGTAACTACATAGTAACTGTATAGTAATTATATAATTACTATTAAATTTAATAGTATGTAGTTACTGCGCATTAAGATATCCAAGTTTCTGTAAAGTAAAAAGTTAGTTAATTAATAGAATTAATTGGATAATACTAAAAAATAATGAATTCATTATAATTAAAAAAAATTTTTTTACTAATTTTCTATTCTTATCCTTATCTAAAGGAGCATTAAGAGACAATCTTGAACATAGTACAAAAACATTTTGATCTACATCCACTCATACCAGTTGATGACCAAGAAAACGTTTTGTTACCAGAGAATATAAGACAAAAGGCAGTAAAAGAGATGTACCAGTTTTGTGTTGCAAATTCACTGTGGCTATTATGGGCTTATTTATGGACAAACTGGTACTCTTCACAACGGTGGCACCTATGAGCACGATCAACTAAACCCACCATTCCCTTTAGCAAAACCATAATGAAAATTGAGGCACATTGGGGTGTCATTAAGCAGTGTTATCTACATCGCTTTAATCGACCTAGACTAGATTTACTGCTTTGGACACTCTTTAAAGAAGTAGTTCCGGCTCAGCAAGAACGATTTTCCCAGGTTTTGAATAGTATAGTAGAGCCATGGTGGTGGGAGAGCTTTAAAAAAGAATAGAACTACGCTAGTGCAACTGATAAACAATGAGCAGAGATGCATCGTAATAAGCTTAACAAAGGCAAAAGAAAGTTGACCATTAGTACAAAAACAATAGGCCCAGCTAGATTATACTTCACCGATATTACTAGATGGGTCTGTAGCTGCTCTAGCTTTGTTGGTAGTCATTTCCTCTTATATAAACATTTAGTACAAAGAGTTGTAAATCTACCTAATGGAGATCATCGAAAGCTGATCAGAAGTAATTTTGAATGCCATAATACGCCACCATTCCTTGTAATAAAGGATTTTATAAATAATGAATTTGTATCTAGTACTTTGTTCGCACCATCTGCAGCATCTGTTGAAGTTTTTGAAAATCATAGCATTGATAATATATCTGATAATAATGAGCTCGAAGATCAAGATGATGCTCGCACCTTTGTTGAATCAAACTGGCCCTTGTTTGAACAAGCATTTAAACGAGCCCGTACTGAAAAATTAGCTAACAATTGGAATTATGTTCGTGCAATTATAAAGTGCAGTAAATTATTGGAAATAGAAAAAGAGGTGCAGGCAGTAGAGCGAAAAAAACATCAGATAGCTACTTGGGCTCCTGAGAATAAAAAACCATATCTGATGTATTTACTGTTTTCAGATAAGCCAGATAATCATGATAATCTAATTTCAGTGAAAAGCACAACAATTAACCAGAATAATATAAATGATTAGTGTGTAACTATAAAAACTACAACAGTACACTTGTATTTTTATTATCATTTACCTTTAGCCTTTGACAATGTACTTGTACATACTTTCTATGAATAACTTCATAATATGTATAATAAATTAGTCCATAGTGTTTAATATTTTCTATGAATAACTTCGTAATATAGTAGATTAGTTTGTAGTCTTTTATTAATATAGATTCTACAAATAGAACATTTTTTTCTCTTAATAAATTTTACAAGTTAGAGGAATACCTTAACTTTAAGGCAGTAAAATATTAAATTCACTTTAAAAATTGTCACGGTAAAACAGTTTGCTACTTTAGCGATTATATTGGATCAAAAATTTTTTTATTTAATCAGACGATCCTTATTCGATCACGTTGGAATGTCCTGATTCGTCGGCCGGAGCTGCGGCAGTGGCGCGACCTCACATGACCCGCAAATTTGAAGGTCGCCCTGGTCGATTCCATCGGATGATCAGTCATTATTATCTTTTAATCTCCTCCCAATCACAAATTCAACTATTTAATTTATAGTTATTGTATGGGTATGTAGTGAATAACCCACGGGTTCATATTCGGCACGGATTTAAATATGAACCCGTGTTTGTAACTGGGTAATTCCATACAATAACCATCTTATTGCACGGTGTCTGACGTAACAATTCCATGCCAATAAGTAAATGAAAAAAGCACGGGTTGTCACATAAGACCCTACGGTCTTACTCTTTTTTTTTTTTTTTGTCTATAATCATTTTGAGTATTTCAACTAGATTAAAAACTCACTGGTCTAGTGCGACGGTTTCTCTTGTTTGGTAGTATAATGTTTTATAATTATATCAATTTGTTTATCAGTTAGCTTTGAGAGTTTATTTGCACTATAAGATTTAATTCGACTAATTTTATCTTCTCCAATTGTGCTAAATAATTTATATATAGGTTTAGTTCTTTGGGTTCTTTTGCATAAGCTTGCACAAGAAATACCTGAAAGATACTGTAGCATTTCATTATAAATTCTCTCACTTGCTAAATCACAAGATCGTTTATCATTTCTTTTATTTTCGGGTAAATCATCAAGTCTTTTTTCAAAATGTTTTATATATTTATACCAGCTTCTAATTTCCTCCACCTTAGCTTGTATAGTATTGATCTCTGCAAGACTTATTTTTTTGAATAGACGAACCAATTTGATTGTAGGTAAATCACCAATAGAATCCTCTATATTAACGATTTTGATGCAATCTTCTTTTGAAGTTTCTAGAAATAATTCCTGTATCAAAGGTTGTATATCTATTTCGGATTCTTTTATTTCTTGTGTATCAGTATTTTGTTCTGAAGAGACAGTCTCTAGACTCTAAATTTCGATCATTATACGATAAATTAGATGGTTTTAGTATAGAGTCTTGAGATCTAAGCTTTTCCCGATTTCTTTCTCTAATCTCATTGCTAATATGCTCTTTATGTACTCTTTCCAGAAATTTGATCTCTTTATTCTCATAAGGTTTAGTTTCTAAAAAGTGTTAGTGCGAAGCAATAGGGCTTTGTCCCTATCAGATATATCAGAATCTGGGGCATCATTAAGTTCATCAGAATTTGAAGCGTTATCAACTATATTATATATGGGAGTTTCATCACATCGCAAGTCTATCTGCTTAGAACTATTATCTTGGGACTTTGTTCCAAATTTTCAGATGAAATATCTTCTGTAGAAAGTACATCTTGAGTATTAGTAATGATTTTATCTTTCTTTTTGATTTCCTCAATATCATTTCTTAATTTCATTACTTCATCTTTAAGGTTTATATTTTCTTTGTTATTTTGGTCTAGTTTCTTAATTCTAATCTCATACTCAACTTCACATTTGGCATTTTCTTCTATAGCCTGTTTCAATCTTGTGTTCTAGGAATTGAAATTGACATTCTCTCTTCTAAGCTTATCAATCTCGGCTATGAGCCTGGAATTCATTTCTCTCAATGAATCGTCTTTAGATTGCATGTTTAATATCAATTTATATAATTTTATCAGCTCCGCTGGCACGACCAAAAATGTTTGGAAGAATATTGAATACGTTTTGAAAATATATTTTATTAATTAATGCCTTTAATTTCAAATAAAAATCACAAGTTCGTGACTTTTGGTCCCACTAATCACTTTTGCCAAGAAAAATTTTAAAATTCTCGATCATATGCGAATAATGTACAGTACATCAATAATAATAATAAAATAAAATAAATTCACGAAATACACATGCAAAAGTCACGATTGTTTATGCGAAAATCGAGCCACCAGGGGTCAGCTTTATTGATATAAAAAGAAATAAAAATATATAAGGCGATCTATTTATGGTGTCGATACTGTTGAACTTTGTTCCTGTCTATGAGATTTAGAGATAGGTGCATGAAATAGTAAGGCCATGTTAACGATAATAATATTCTATAAAACAAATAAGAACATGAATACCATGTTGCCAACTCATAACGATATAAAAAAATTGTTAAATATAAATAGCAAACCCGTAAAGTCAAAAGGCCTTTTACAAAATTAGTTAAATTATAATCATTCATTGGGTTTATAGGAATCTCGGCTGTGTGTAAATGGTAGTAACGATGGATATTGTCTGTACCTCTAGTAAGAACATTCAGATGCAATTTACGTCCTATAAAAGTTTTGAATCATTAAAATGGTTACTTTTTCGAAAATAAAAAATAAAATTATAGAACCTGCGATCTGAATTCCAACGATCCCAAACTGTTCTTTCTCTGGTTTGCACCCTTTACGAGTCCAGTACAATCCATCGTTTGTCTCTCTCCATAATTTGATTCTGTCATCTAACTCCTTTTTAGGAATGCAAAATATACGTGAACACTCACCATACATAAGTTCATAAACTTTTTCTTCGTGTAGAACTTCAAACATTATGTCTGGTCGCCTGCCCAATTTGCCCTCACCTCTTCTGTCCTTACTAGCATTACTCTGACGTTCATATCTAGAAAAAAAGAAAATTGCTTTATGAATATAATCTTCAAACTATACATGAGGACGAAATTATTTGGCCCGAAATTAAAACCTCAATATGAAATTATTTTACTTAAAAGACGAAATTTTTTGACAAGCTGATTAATTAGATGAAATATAAAAGTATCTAAAAACAGCTTTTTTTTGTTCATTTTAAAAAATTTTAACTTGTTCTAATGAAGACGAAATAGGCACTTTTTGAAAACCTATTTTCGTGGTGTGTATACTTCAAACTTTGCAATTTATAAAACCTACGTGCTAATAATTGAGGACATTTTACAAGGGAGGTTTTTCAATGTTGAACGTATCAATGGCACCACCACGTTCGACACATAGGTGCCCTCATTTAACGAATGGACAAAATTAGGTCCAAAGGCTGGATTGTTCCAAATGTCTTTTATAGTGGTTAGAATTTCCTTTGTAACCTCTTTAAGAACTTTTGGACATTCTTTCCAAGTACCATTATGTTTTAATGGTCTTGGTATACTTTCGGTTCGATTACTATTAAAGCACACCACAAATTCTTTGCACATCTCCCGAATCATCGGTAAGTTTGGAGGCACCATTCGTCGCGCAGGTTTCAAGAATGCTTTTTTCATGTTATAAGAAAGATGTTTCACTAAATCTGAATCCTGATCAATTATCTGGTTGGCGAGTGGATTAGTCCATTCAAGATTGGAAGCTGTCGCACTCCTTAGACCTAAAGCCAATTCCTGAGAGAGTGGTGACGAATCTCTCTAGATAAAATATTAGTATGAATTTATTTGATTTTTAGTGAAACTAGAAAGGCCAAAATTTCAACAATTACCGATAGTTTTAACTTCATCTTCTGAAGGTTGGCATCAATTTGTTCGAAAGTGAGAGGTTCTACTTTATTCACTTTTAATGCTCCAATGTTAAGTAAACTATGAACCCCCTCATATGCCATCTCAAACTAATAAAAATAGATTTGGGTTATAACCATTATACCAACAGAATATATAATATATTAACGCGTGTGCTGTCAGAACGTCACAGGCAAAGCTAATGCCCCCGTGGGGCCCACACGCTGACATTAACTTTCGCATGGTCTTGCTTTCACAACATATATCAAAGCATAATAATTCAGTTTAACCACTCTCCTCATGTTCCCAGGAATAAATCCTGTACACGGGCTAAATAGAACGGCCAAAACTGTTATGTTTTCTATTCAGAGAAAACCAAACTGCGACACTCATCATTCAATTTAATGGGCTAAGTCATTTTTAGTTCATATTGTAAAAACTCACTTGAAGGGGTATTTGACTAAGTTTTTCTCGATGAGAAGAATCTTGGGCGTATATATTTGACGCTAATGAAATTGCTTGATAGACTACCTTTCTTACTTCTTCTTTCGAAGTCCATGGTTCCGTTTTTACTGCCTGGTAAATAACTGTGGTCGCAGTTACATTTTCTTCTTCGGTAGTCACTATAAAATTGTAAACCTTTGTATGTAATTCGTCCGACATATTTGTTGCTTTAATGAAATGGAAGAAAAAATAACGTGTATGTTAAAACTTCGACTTATATCGTAAGCAAAAAAAAACTTATAATTTAGATGTACTGCCCTTTTTATACTTTTCTTGTTGAAGGAATATTTAGAAGGGTTAGAGAAAAAACTAAAGTTGCATTCTTACGTTAAGAAATTTTAAAAGTTGAATTTCTATCGACGGCTATATATCATAAGCCATCTTGCTAAAATAGCATTTTCATTCCGACACGCATGCATACATCGTGTGTACTTATGCCAAATAAGGTTTCGGTCTGGTGTTGAGAAAATGAAGTCAGAAACATAACGATAAGGCATGAGTTAATTGACCAACTTTGGTTAGGTACTAATTTCAACCGGGTCGAAAAATGAAAAATGGCAATTTCTACTTGTACCCCGTTTCACAAGTGAGCTATGCATGATAAGCCTTTGGGGTAAACTCCTACAGGGAGATCCATATAGGATAACTTTCTCGTGATTGGTAGATCACATGAAATTGAATAATATGTTATGATTGGACATTTGCGCAACATGT